GGGCAGTACTATGCCAAATATTACAGGCATTCTTGCACACAGCACCTGCAGGTGTCTTACCTATAAGCAAGAAGTTGGAGACTGAGTGATGGTGAAAAGAATGTGGAGATAAATATTTGAAAACATAACTGATGTTATTATGAATAGAAATGAGGCTATAAGAAATAATTAAAGTGGTGTAGAAATTCAAAGGAGAGCAATCACCTTGGCTTGAGTTTGAGCAGGAGAGATTTTAAGGAAAAGGGTATGAAATAGGTTTAAAAGCTTGGACTTTGATCTGCAGAAATGGAAGATGATGTTCCTGCATAAACCAAGGGACAGACATAGAATGGTGCAAGATATCACTGGCTGCAACCTTCAAACAGGGAAATCTTGAATATCTTTGTGAATGACTTTGGGAATGGAGCCCCATAGGCAGTAAAGAGACAGGGATAAAATGATCTCTTGCAGTCAGGTGCAGATTGGGTTAGGGCAAGGAGCCTTGAGGCAGAAAGAATTGGAAGATTCTGCAGGGCCACAGGAAACGGACAAGCAAATTCATTCTTGTAACTTTGTGGGGAGGAGGGTAGGTCAAGGGAGCTGGGTGTAGGCTAAATTTGTGCCTGTTAGGAAAAGTGTAGGAGGTGAAGGAAAGAGAGGCAACAGGCAAATAGGCAGGAAGAACAGATTAGGGTAGCCAGAAGGAGTGAATTGGATTTTTGACCTGTTAGCTGGAGCTGTGGGTATAGGTTTGTCCAGATGGAGATACTCAACAGGGAGTTGAAAACGTGCCTCAAAGGCGAGGAGATACAGATGTGGGAGCACTGATGTTAGAGCCCTAAGGATCCATGAGATCCTTGAGAGAAACAGTTATCTTGTCTTTCTATACATCCCCCAAGAGAAATCTTCCATTTTCAGTGGAACATGTTTATTTAAGAAGTGAGAGTTGATAACACAACCAGGTAAAAGTTCAGAGGTGGGACAGTCAGAAAAGTCGAAGTTTTCATGTTGTATGGCATCAGGGAAGTCAAAGGAAAGGAAAGGTTCAAAAAGTGAGGGCGTGAGGCTTAACCTTCTGAAACACTATAGAGAAGTTGAATTACATGAACACTAAGTAAAGATGGGGTGAGGCATAATTCAATTATGTTCTGTTAAGATGCCAGACATAGTGCTTATGTGATGTTTCAATTGCTTATTATTCTCCACCATTTGGGAGAGTCTATTTGATATTGCTAATTATTTTATTTCCAGCACTTATCACCAGACAGGTGTACGAATATACACAGGAATAAAAATGTCAGTTGTGACATATAAAAAGTAGTTTCAATTGAGAGATGGGTATGGAAGACAAATTCATATATATATCTCATATATTTTCATATTTATTCTATATATAGTATCCTTTTGGAAGAAAGAAACAGCTCCAAGCACTTTCATTCTTAAAATTATTGGCTTTAATTATAATGACTTTTTTAAAAAGTGAACTACTTTTGTGTCAAGGGCTGTTCTTCCAGACAGCTAAATTAAAGGAGAATATTTCTGTTTATTTTGGATTGTCTGTTGACTCAGTGGGGCTTCAGATTTAGAGTACAAGAAAAGCCTCTGACAGATATCTATGAAAGCAAGATTAAAACAATATTATACACAGTCAACTGTGGTCCAAGTGTTTGTAAACCAGTGCCAGTCGGAATGCTCAGAGATTTGGGAGTAGTGATCTTCAGGCAGCCAGGTGAGACTAATCTAGGGGTGCTTTAGGAAGGAGATAAATTTAAGCTGTTTTGAAAGGGGACTATTCTAGTCAATTGGCAAAGAGTCTTAAAGCACAGGATTAGGTATTTTAATTTGATTACCTGAGATAATTTGAAGCTATCTTAGTGATCTGAAAAGACTTTGTATAAATGTTGTCTGGAAGATGATTCATTTCTATAGTTCTTAGCCCTGGTTGCATATTAGAATTATCTGGAGAGCTTTGAGAAATCCTGGTACCCAGGCTGTGCTCCATACCCATTAAATCTAGGGGTGGGATGTGGGCATCTGTGTTTTTTTGTAAAATTCAACTGGGAAGTTCAATAGATGGCCAAAATTGAGTGTAGGGTAAATTGCAAACAGACAAGAGAGACTAGACTGAGAAAGGTTAGCAAGGAGGCTGGAAATGGGAGTCTGACCTAGCTTTTGTAGAGAGATAAAAGGGTGAAGCTAAATAAAGTATTCTGAAGGAAAACTTGGTTGGACTTTGTGATGCATGTCAATTGCAATTTTTCATAAAGCTATCCTGCAGGAGCATTGCTGCTCTTATTATGATGGGTTAGTTGGAAAACAAGTGAATAGGATTTACTTCTGCTAAATTTTAGGTTGCTTAGTAGTAGCAGAATTCTCCATTTCTATAGAAGCAAAGCAGATCAGAAAATGAAAACACTCATATAAGCTGTTGTTTATATTTGGTGGAGGGAAAGAAAAGCTAATGATGGATATTCTTGAATTAAATCAAAATTCACATTTTAAATTGAGTTATAGTTAGGAGATCCTGAGCTATGGTAAAGTTATGATCCCTTTAGAGTAACCTTCAAGGAAATGAAAAGCCAGACCATTAAGGATACTAAAGAGAAAGATTCACCATCATTTTCAATCATAACATTCTCTTTCCTTAGAATGAAGCCTTTATAACAGGGGTGGGAAATGAATGGGTAATATATCAGAAATGATGAAGTCTGAGTAAGGGGAGCTGGCAAGCAAGGATGAGAGTTCCAGTGTTCACATTACATCATTTTAAATTTGCTCTGACATGTCCTGCCTTTAAAGTTTAGAGGAAAGGCAGAATGTCATAAGGTGGAGTGTTTCATAATGAAATTCATAAAGAAGTGTTTCATAATGTAGCCTGTTTAGGCGTACTTGACAAAATGTAGACACTGGAGAAACTTCACTGGCAATTGAAGATGGCTGTTGGAATAAAATCATTTTTTTCTGATTCTGAGGATGAGGCTAAGTTTTACAATAGTGATAAGCTTCTATCTAATAGCGGCTACCATTGAGAGATCAGATTTGAAATTGTAAATGAATGATACCTGTCCTTGTACTCCTACTCCTAGGTTTGGATCCCTGGTACACACAGAGGCAAGGGTGTTCACTAGGGCTGGGCCTAGCTATGAGTCTGGCAGGTCTACATGTTATAATTTAAGGGGTACAGTCTCCTCCCCAAAACTTCCTTAACTTTATCCTTCCAAAAAAGTACAGTGAGAGACTAAGGCATAGTTTCCAGAAGACCCTTTAGAAAATAAAAGTGTGCTCTAAGGGACTAGCAGCATATCCAGAAATATCATTCACACTCCACCTTTCTTCTAGAGGAGCTCAGACCAAATACACTAGCAGGATGGAAGGAGTGTGGCAGAATCAGAAAGGAGAAGAAATTGAAGCTAACAGGCCTAGGATAGGCCTGGGTATCCTAAGGCATCCAGAAAGGCCTCGAGGGTATGCTTAGACTTCCTAAGAAAAGAAGTCCTTGGCTTCCCTTTTGCCTCTGGCCTGCTACACAATCAGGAACAGAGCCTACTTCATCTCATTTCATCCAGCTAGCCTGGCTGCAGAGGGTCATAACACCTGCCCAAAGTTACTTTGTGACCCTTGGAGCATTCAGGTTTCTTTAATTGCTTCCAATTCCCCTTCCTCAGGTTTACTTTTCCAAGAAAGACGGTTCTAAATTAACACTCTACAAAGTCCCCTTCCAGTTGGTTTGCAAAATTAATGATCCTTGAGGAAAAGCAAATTAATCTTTGATGCTTAGTTGAAGCTGAAGACAAAACTCCCTGTTTGGGCACTGGGCCCTCTTAATATACCACATCCACAGTATTTTCTCCCTCCATTCCATGCCTTCTGCACTCACAAAGAGAGAAGACAAAACACCTCAGAGCCATCTCTGAGTCCAAAGGACCGTGCATTCTGCACTCAGCTATCAAATGTTGGTTTGTGCAGAACCTCTGCAAAGGTGCCCACGAGAGTCCAAGAAAGGCTGCAGAGAGGAAGTCACCTGATATGTTCCTCGCATGAATTTTACTTGCACTTTCTATGTTCATGATTTGAAGGCTGCAGTAAATATTCTGTTCCACTGAAAAAGCATTTTAATAGTTTCTCTGATGTCCAGAACATGAGAGCTTCTCCAAACGCCATTACAGGTCTGAGGGTCCACAGAGGTCTTTAAGGGGATCAGAAGTTCTCTGGACGTGTTGCTGTTTTTCTAGCCAGAGCTTCTGCTGCATTACTTGCTCAGTTCCTTTCAACTGAAAAATTAAATCTGCACTCCTGTCAGAATGTGTCGTCTGCACACCCGGACACTCATCACAATTTACCACACTTCACGCAGAGTGGAGGCTGAAAGGATGGCGTGCCCCTCCTTCCGAGCTCTGGGAAGGCCAGATGTTTGGGAGGAGCTGAACCACTGTGTCCAGGGAGTGTCTGGCAAAGCCGGCTCCAGGAGTTCCACCGGTGCCTCGGTGCTAAGAGCTAGTGTCCGTCGATTTCCTCGGGTGTGAATCACACTCCCCCGTTCGGCCTTTGGGAAAAAATTCATGAAGGACAGACAGTGCTCCAGAACTTGCCAAATGCACATCAGAGCCAGGGGTGTGCGAACGCGGAGGGGGCAAATTTTCCGGAGGATTTTCTTTGAGGTCAGTTTCTCCTTTGTGCCCCGTGACTAGGTTCTTTTGATTGCAAACTCTCAGGAAGGGTACCGAGGAGGCTCTTTTATGTCCCGTGGAGTATCTTGCCCATCAGTAAATGTTGAAAGACAGCGGCAGTTTCGGCCTGCTAGATCCAACAGCGGGACTGGGTCGGCCCAGCCCACTCCTGGGTGCGCCGAGGAGCGGCGGCCCCAGCACCCGGCCCCGTGGCGTTCAATTGCCCGCCCGCGCTCGCAGAGGGGCTCCACCTGGCCGCCGCGCCGGAGGGGCGGGGCCGGCTTCCCGGAGGCAGTGGCGCCTTCTTGAGCCCGGGCGCGCGCGCCCTGGCGTCCGGCGCACGCGCGAAGCCGGGAGGGAGCGCGCCCCGGCGGCTGGAGGAGGAGGGCGGCTGAGGAGAGCCTGGCCGCGCGCGGGCTGGTGGCGGTGGCAGCGGCTGCGACCGGAGCCGGGGCAGAGTGTGGGGAGCGAGAAAAGGGGCGGAGGGAAAGGAAGGCGGGGGGACGGTGAGAGGCGCATTTCTAATTCTCAACTACGAGCCCCGAGTTTGTAGATGGGGCTGCTCGTCGTCGTCTGCGGCTGAGGCAGAGCGGCGGCGGCGGCGGCGGCGGCTGAGGCTGAGGGAGAGGAGCAGCGGCGCGAGGCGGCCGAGGTGCGAGCCGGTGAGTGGAGGGGCCCCACGCGGCCAGGGTAACGGTCTATCAGCGCGCCGGCGGGGCGGGGGGGGCGCCCTGTTGCTCGTCTCGCCGCACCACGCGGGGATCCTGGTCCGCCCCGCCCCTCGGCACCTGGGCTTCCGCGGGCCGGGAGGTGCCCGGAGCCCGGCCGGACCCGCGCGGAGAGGGCGGGAGGGAGGCCGGAGCGCGGCAACCCGTCTGGCCCGTGCTGCTGGCCGCCGCCCGGCGCTCCCCACGCGCTCCTCGGCGCTGCCCAGGCTGAGGCTGCGGACTCGCGGGGCCCCCTCCGGGCGTGGGGCTCGGGTGCCGACACCCTCTGCGGCGGGAGCAGCGGCAAAGCTTGAATGGAGAGCCGCGCCGGGGGCGGTGGAGATGTGACTGACACCTCGGGGGATCAGTCCCGAGAGGGGGCGATCGCGCCGGCTGCTGGCTCTCTCTCGACCTCCGAGTTCCTGGGGGAGGAGGCTTTCTGCAACTACTGCTGCTACTTGCGAGGCACGAGATTTCAGTTGTTTGACCGAAGTGGTTGTGGGCCGAGCACACGCTGCTCCGGGGGCGTTCGCTGCTGCTGAGACCGTGCTCTCTCATCCTAGGTACATTTGTCGGGAACCACAAAGATGCCGAGGCTCCCTCCCCACCTTTCTTTTTTTCTTTTTGGCAAAGCTGAGGGCCTGAAGGGAGTCAATTGAGAGATCCGACCGTGTGATGACAGCATGTGGATGGGTGGGTGGATGTTTTTGGAGAAGGACTTTTTAACACTTTATTGGGAGTTTATTCTCAATCCTACAAGGTCTTGGGTTTACAGCTCGAGATTACATCCATTAAACTTCCATCCTTTGGGACGTGCGTTTGTGTAGGAAGGGGGAGGGAGGCGCGAAAGAGAATTGAAGACCTAGGAGGAGGCTCAGAAAATTCTCCGCATTACTTATAAACAGCTGGTTAAGGCCAGGCTAGCCACGTTTTACTGCTTTCCTATGCCTTTGGGGGTTGTTGGAATTTTACTTTATGCTTCCTGAATTGGACTCGTTGCAATATAGCTGAGAATATTTGGGGTGCGTTAAAATGCTTTTCAACTGGAGTATGATTTAGCAGCCATTTCTTCCTTTGAAATCTTTCAAAAGATCATTCGGAAACTTAACATATGTCGAATGTGTTAGATGAGGTAATACACTATTATTAATGTGAAGATAGTTTTGGTACATAGGTATAAGGGGATGTTAATCACGCAAGACTTTAGGTGTCTACTCTGCAATTTTGATAAGCTGGCAGGTCTGATTATAGTTTTGTGTTCAGAGGCCTAATTACCATAAACAAAGAACTTTTGTGGGTTGTGTCATTTTGTATCTTAAATCTGTCATATTTAAATACTTGTTTAAATACGTGTTTGTACGGTGTGTTACTCTTTAAAGCCCATGTTTTTTCTGGCCTAGGGTTACATAATGAGTCAATTATAACACTTTTAATTGCTCAATTTTGTCATATAGAGACTGCCACTGAATACGTTTTCCACTTGGAATATCAAAATGAATTATTTTATATTCTGGGTTGAAATCAAAACTGGAAAATTAAGGTGTTTAAGCAAGTCTAGTATCTCTATGTAACGCAGAATTTTTTTTCCTCCTTTAGGGCAACTGTTGGATTTTCGAAGTGAATCATATTTTTCTTAGACATTTGAGAGAGCAGTTTGCTTTTTTTGAGTCTTATTTCAGGCAAAAATTGCTCCAGAAGACTACCCAGCCTGCTTCTCTCCCTTCCTTCCCTTTTCCCCTCCTTTTAGCTTGAAATAACCAAGAAAATCATAATGCTAAGATTACCCTTTTAAAAATCTGTTTTAAAATTAAGTTGCTTGTTTGAATAGTCACCACCCCTTTATATAGTTTGCTGTAGAATAATGGATGGTTAGCAGAAGACATCAGATGGTTTAATGAAATAATCTTTTGCATTTTTGATATCTGAGCTTTATTGAAAGTGGGTAGCACTAGCACCTATTGCTTAGTTGCAAATAATGCAGCATTCATGGTCATCAAAGGCTGAGCATAAAAACATGAAGAAAATAAATGTTAAAAGAGGACCAGTTTGTACTTTTTACTCCACTGACTGTAATATAAATTACCTAGTTCCAAATGACTTAGGATTTTGTAAATTACATATAGATTTTTAAAATCATATATGTACCTAAATTATATATAGGTATATAGCATTGATAATAATTTTCCTCTCCAAAATATTTCATTTGTATCATAACTCTGCTTCAGATTACTGTAGTTAACCTGCGAAGCATGTGTTCAAATTTCAGGAAGAATGAAGACCTGCCCATTTCATAAGTACTTGACTATTTTGGGATATTGTCTGTTATCCCTAAAAAAATTATACTGAGAAAATTATGCTAGTTTTGTTTTATCTGTAGTTCTTTCCTTCCAAAAACTGTCTACTCACTTATAAATATTGCATCATAAGAGCAAACACTAGACATAAAAGCAAACACCATCTCTACTGACATGGTATCAATATTGAATTAAAGATTTTATTTTTGTTGTTGTAAGGATCAGTTTTGCTTTTGGTCAGCCTTGTAAATCAGTCTCACTGAAGCTGCAGTGTCTTTTCCCAGGCTTTTCTGTACAGTATTTGTATATGACCACTGGGGGGAGACTTCATAGTTTAGCTTGACCAGATACTGCCTTTGCATGCACTGGCTGCTAATTATCCTGGGCAATTTGCCAAACTGCTAGAAAGTGTGCTAAGGAGGACACACTTAGAACCAACTCTTGATCAAGGTGTTTAATGACTTTTCTTTCTTTAACTCACACCATACCCCCAAAGTACCTCTCGATATAGACTTATTAACAGTTGACATTTTGGACTACTCTTAAGTGGGCTAACATTGTGAAAGATTCTTGAATATAACATAGCTTTTAAAGATCTTACTTTACTGGCATTAATCCTGGAAGCAGTATAGATATGATTACTTGCTTAATGTACACAGATACTGGTTGTCTGGAAAGATCTAGAAGGATCTCATTATTCTTCCATGAGGCATATTGTATCCAAACCTCTTGAAGCAGATTGGTCTCTTCTTTTAAAAGCTTTTAGAGGAGATATTGAAGCATCCCTTATACCTAATTTTTGTGTTCATTTGATCACAGAGAAGTTCATCCTTTATCAGAGTTGTAGAGATAAGACTAAAGCCCACATCTTGTTGGAAATTAAACTGTGGCTATTCTTTCCAGCTACAATAAAGGCAGAAATCTGCTTTCTACTTTTTTCCCTGGTAGTATTTAACCTTGTTAATGTCCAATTCAATAACAGTAAATTCAGCAAAGAAAGGATGTTGCATTTACAGTAGTTTACAGAGTTTCATGATCTTCTTGAATAATAATAGAAAAATCCAGAAACTTTTCTATGATCTTTATCATAGTAACTGATTCACAGAAAAACAAACAGGACAAATCTGGAGAGGTTCCTGTCATTCTAGATTATTCTCTTTTCCTTTAAGGTGGCTCTGCTTTTGTCCTAAAATTAATTAATTCTTTCATCTAGTGTGTCAGGAGAGATATTTTTGCTTAGGAAAACGTTCAGTCCTGGATAACTTCAGAATTGTGTTAAATACTTGGGATGGTAATTTCTAAAAGTCCATCTGATAAAGCTATCAGAATTTCAAGGTAAAATCAGAATTAAAGACAATATAATGAAGTACTTAAAAAACTTATTTTCAAGTCCTTTTCACCACTTACTAGCTCCTATGCGTGATCTGATCCCTACTTGTCAACTTATATCTTTTCCTCTTAGACCTGTCATTCCTGGGCAATTTGTTTGCCGTCTCCTTTTACTATATTCTATCAATACTGCAATTCTTTTTCCTTGTTACTACCATGGCTTGTTCTAGACTTAGAGCTTTTGCTCTTCCTGGTCACTCTGTCTGGAACTCTTCCTAAATCATTACATGACTGGCTCACTTTCATTTATATTTCAGTTTAAATATCACTTCTTCAGAAAAGAATTGCTATCTAACCACTGTTCCAGAACAACATTGCCCTCATCCCCCTCTGTCTTATTACCTTTGTTGATTCAAATTTTCTGCAAAATATTTTTCGCTATTTGAAATTATATTTTATTATCTGCATGTTCTTACTAGAAGATAAGCCACATGATATGTGATCTTGTTTCTTTTAACACTATTTCAAGGGCTTAGACCTGTTCCTGACACATAAGTGTCATCAAACAATTCTTTTGAAAAATCTGAGGTTACCACTGAGGTTTTTGTTAAGATATCCCTTTATAAAATTATATGAGTAGATGGTAGTTGTCATTAAGTAGGCCATTTTGGGCTATAAGTAATTGAAATCTATTCTAATTTGTATAAGTAAGAATTTATTAAAATACAGTGAATGTTTCATGGAATCTGAATGCTGAGACTTGGGGACTCCAGTGCCAACAGGACACACTACATCTCTGTTCCTCACCATGCATTTGCTTCATTCCTTCTTTGGCTACAGAAAATCATGTTCCTAGTCCTCTTCTGCATTTTCTTCTGGAAAATATAGCCACCATCAGCTTCTACATTTTCATGGCACCAGGCCAGACAACTGGAGACAGATTCATCTGCTCATTTCTTCTCATTCTATAAACTATATCATGTTATTAGGACCTGGTTGCCCCTACTGTAACCAGGTGATGTGAGATTAGGCAGGCATTTCAAATAGGCGCTGCTATGATAATTTATGTTCATGTTCAGTCACTCCCAGGCACTCATCTCTCCTTTTTATTCTTCATCTTCAGGTATAAAGATTTGAAAGGCACTCTCCAAAGGATATACAAAAGAAATGTCCTTCATGGGAGGAATTTATAGTTTGGTTAAGGAAGATAAAATATATACATAAAGGAAAGAAACAATAAAAATAGGAATTGGGGAGATATTTGCAATTTGTATTACAGGTAAAAGACTAATTTCCTTAATATATAAAAAAGTACCTACAACACAAAGGTCA